TCCTTGGGCCAAATTCCTGCCTGCAAGTCCTGATGCCCCTCTCCCCGCCTTAGAAAGAGCTGCGGTCGGAGCCCCTGACTCTAAGCACCCAGGACCCGCCAGATTTAGCTCCCCTTGCAAAGGGGCCTCGACCGGCCTCCTTTCTGGACCTCTCCTTGGGTCCCTGGCTCCAGGAAGGCCAGGAGGAGTCTTGCCACACCTGAGAGGCGGCTCTTCTGCCTCGGGGGCAGGGAGGAGATTGGAAGCCTCGGCGAGCAGATCTCTTGGGATCTCGGGTCTGCGGGGGCCACGGCTGGTTTGCCAAAACGGTGATCCAGGATCAGGTCCAAATCTTCTTCATCCACAAGCAAGGACGCCTTCATGATCTGGAAACAAGAACGGACCAAGTCCACCATGAATGGGGCTCTCTAGGACAGGGCAGAAAAAGGAAGGCACCTTCCTTCTACCTGCGACCGACCCTTTAAAGTGATTTACTGCCTAAAAGGCCTACAAAGGCTTTCTTCTAGTTCTTAAAACAACCCTTCTGAGGCATTACAAAACAAAGTTAAAAGCAGCACACCACCTATTAAGGCAAAGGTTCCCCTTGACAATTTGTCCAGTCGTGTCCGATTCTAGTCGTGTCCGATTCCCCGTTTCCAAGCCATAGAGCCAGCGTTTTGTCCGAAGACAAACTTCCGTAGTCACGTGGCCAGCGTGACTAGACACAGAACGCCATTACCTTCCCACTGAGGTGGTACCTTTTGAACTGCTAGGTGGGCAGGAGCTGGGACAAGCGACGTCACGTGGATTCGATCTTACGACGGCTGGTCTTCTGACCTTGCAGCACAGAGGCTTCTGCAGTTTAACCCGCAGCGCCACAATGTCCCTACAACACCTATTACCTTACAATTAAATTTTTTTTTAAAAGGGACAGCAAAAAGATCTCACTTATTACCTTACAATTAAATTTTTTTTAAAAGGGACAGCAAAAAGATCTTTGCCCTGGAGACCCACAACTGGGATTGCCAAGCAACCCTCTCGACAAAACAAAACACAAACACACACAGAGAATCAGAGGGAACTGCTCCCATCCCAAAGCTGGATACGGAGGTTTTAAATCACAATGAATTTGGGGTTTTTTTTTGTCCTATAGAAAAAGTGAAACTATTTCAAACCAGCCACCCCTCCTCTCTCCAATATCTGAAGCCTCAATGTGTTTCATAAGGCTAGCAGCACTAGGAGGGCTTGAGACCCTTCCCTCTCCAACCAAGGGGCCAAGAGCCAGCCCTTGAAGGAGCCCCAGGCCAAAGGAACACTACCGCTGCCCGGGGGGGGGGAGAGGGGAGGAGCAGATGCAGGGGACTCACCTGCAAGGTGTGAGGGTTGATGTCCAGCGAGGAGGCAATGTGTGCTGAAGCGGGCACCGGCTCCAGCTCCTCTGCCAGGCTCGCGGCCATGCCCAGATCCTGAGCAGACTCTTGGGTGATGTCTGCCATGTCGGCATCGAACTCCACAACCTTGCCCAGCTGCTCAACCTCTGGACTCTGTAGACAGCGAGACAGTGTGTGTGTATGTGTGTAAAAAAAAGAGAGAGAGTGAGAGATTCAAAGCAACCGCACATAGGAGCTAACACGTCACAGGAGACCCCCTAAAGCCCAGACCACCTGGCCTCTGTTCTTGACTCAGGTTCATGCCCTGCACCCCTGGGAGCTGGTGAGCTGGCAAAAAAAAGCCTGGGCCACAGGACAGAGTTAGGAGGTCCACCACCACCACCACTACCAAAGGAAAGGCTAGGAAAGCACTTTAGGCCAGAACCACCCAGAGGAGAGAACAGGCGGTGGTATAGAATTCTAATAATAAATAAAGGCTGGCATCGCCTATGGAAGGAAGCCACGCACCGAGGAGCCAGGCCACGACTCTTGTTTTGGCCAAAGCCAAAGCCAAGAACACACATGGGTTCACTCTGGACTCAGGGAACGTTTCAAGCCAACATTTCAAACCACGCTCAGGACCTGAACTGCTTCCCTCGGTCCCATTTTCAGAACGCTTTTACTACGGAGATCTCTCTTTCTCTCCCTCCCTCCCTATTATGAGAAAGGGCTACTTAGATTACAGGTCTTTAGGTCAACTGAACCATGTGTCCCTTGGGCTGTAGGCATGTGTCTCTGGGCTTTCCTGTTGCTCTCTTTGTTCCCCCAAACCTCCCCAATGCAGTTTGAGCATCCTTCATTTCCCTCTCTGAACTGTGAGAACCACCCAACGGAATGGGAGGACATGTTGGCTGCTCTCATCAACGGCAGGCCCAACACACACTCCACGCCGGGAACTGCTCTTCCTACCACACAGCACACAGCATCTTGACGGACGGCGGTCAACAATGCTACAAGGGTCCCAAAGACAACCCCATCCCGCCCCCCGCCCCCCGGCCTGGTTTCACACCTTGAGTGAAGCAGCAGCACTTCCAGACCATGAAGGGAGGGTGTTGGGATGGCCAGGGGTGGACATGTACATCTCTGGGCACTACAGCTTCTACATGCGGTTTCTCGACAAGGAAAACGAAGTGGCCTTCGTTGTAAGCACCTTTTATCTCCAAGACCCCGTTAAGGACTCAACAAAGGCCCATTCCGTTTTACGCCTTCACCTCCCATGGGAGGGGACTTTGAGTCAGGAGAGCAGAGGCAGAAGCGGCTGCAGAGGACTCTGTTCTCAAGCCAGACCGTTTCAGCCACTATCGTTCCTTCTCAGCAAAACAGACTCCCCTTCCATCATCCCTTCTGACAACTACGGAGGGAGAGATCTCTTGTGCTTTTCCCTACCTTGGAGGGAGGTGCCAGCTTCCCACTCAGAGCCACCTGCTGAGGCATCGTCTGGCCTGACTGGGGGCCCGCAGCTGTTTTTAACTTCTTGGTCTCCACTTTGGACGGGGGCTCATCCTCGTCCTCATCAGAATCTTGCAAGCCGTATTTTGAGAAGTGAGCCACCTGGACAGAGGCAAAACCCACAACGAATTCTGTGAGCCAGAACGCAGGGAAAGCCAAGGAAACATAAGGTCTTAATTGTTAGTCATGTTGGTTGCCTCCCTACACTTTCTGGAGATTTAGACACAGCACAGGCCAGCTGGCTTTTCCATGCAATGAACAACACTGCACAAAATTATTTTCACCTGAAACCACTGCACTTTGAAACATCAGGGGCTATGAAGAATGGGAGCTGATGCCAGAGCGTCATCAGGGAAGTTCATCTAATTTATCCATCAGCTGCAGGTCTTTTACCTTAAATACCCATGACCCCGTCTCCGGGCGGTACTCCTTGAACTGGGCACCCTGCTTGCGGGAGGCAGCCTCGAGCCTGCCTTCATAGTTCATTTCCAGTAGCCGTTCTGGGCTCTTGATTAAGCAGCGGGTGGTCTTGTCAGTGGGCCAAACGCCATCCAAAGTGACTTCGGCTCGCCTGTTATAAAAGAGAAGGTCCGAAGGAGTGAAGTGTGGCTGCTTGGTTAAACTAAGCCCACAAAACTATTCTGATAAACAGGAGTGCAAATATTCCGATCAGCTTTCCCTACCGCAGGGACGAGGGGCAAACGGTAAAGTAACCAAAGAGTCGGGTTTACCTATTTAAGCCTTCCCCGATGGGGGGCTTATGCTCGTCGTCGGGGTAGACAATAACCTCCTTTCTGCGGATGTGGACAATGTCATCCAGGTTCACGTTTGCGAGAGTGATGGTGCCTTGAAAGTAGACGGAGCCGTAGCCTGGAGACAAGGGGGAACACCAAAGCGTCAGACCCACCCTGACTGCTTCCAGAACATAAATATCCACTTAGGAGGAAAATGCTTCCACCCCTTACAAAAGAAAACATGCAAGTGGTGCAGGATAATGAAACGGTCAACAGAGCATGTATCTGTGAAGATTCTCAGTCCTTCAAGTGAGGTTATCTGGAAGTTGAGTCATGGCAACTGGACTTCTTTCTTCTTAGGCCGAAACGTTTCGCTCCTCATCCAAGTCGCTTCTTCAATCTGAGGAGAGTTGGCAGGAGATCCCGGATATATCCTTCCCGTTGGCTTCACTTCCCCCTGGTCTGAAGAGGCTGGTTAGATGTCCTACCAACTCTGCTCAGACTGAAGAAGCGTCTTAGATGAGCCGCAAAAGGTTTCGACCTAATAAGAAAGAAGGCCAGCGACCACGACTCAACTTCCAGTCAACAGAGCATGAGTTCTGAAAGACAGGCAGCCTGATAGCAAACACTGTCAGACAAGAGCGTTCTTCATCATCCCTCTTCAAGGTCCCGTTAAAAAAGTATGTGCCTTGCACCTGAGCCCCCTGGTCTTGTCTGTGACCACAATCCTACAAAGACTTCTGAATTCTGCCTTAAGCCATACAGTCCCTTGACCTTCACTCAGAAAGACGCCTGGGTGAAGGCTTCTGAAGGCAGCTGAGACAGTAAAGGCCTAAGGTCAGAGAAATCCTCACCTCTACGGCCGATGGTGAAGTCTTTCACGACGCACTCTCCTTTCTCGTTCATGTTTTTGGCCGTTTCTTCCAGAGATGGAACGGTGTAGTAGCCGGCTCGTGTTAAAACAATACCTGAAAGAACCAAGACTGGTTGAAGGCCACACCTTCTGGCCGAGGGAAGAGTGGGGCTTCAGTCAAGACCATTTCCAGGCCTCACCTGCCGGGTGTGGAGGAGAGGTGCCCTCCGCCTGCTCGCTGTGGTCGTCCTGAAGGGACTCCTCCTGGTAGGAGGCGTCCTCGCTGCTGCCTTCCAGCCCGTTCCGCAGGGCCGCACGTAGGTTCAGGGCCATGATGGTGTCGTCCACGCTGCTGTTGTGATGGTGCTTGTGCGAGGAGTGCTCTGGACTCTGGGGGATCGACTTGGGGACGGGGCTGACGCAGAAGCCTGACACCTCGCGAGGGTGGCCTTCCTCGTCCTCCTCTCCATGCTGCCGGTGGTTCTCATCCACGGACTTGGACAGGAAGTTGAACCTAACAGAGAAAGCCGCACATGGGTCACCTGAAGCCGGCAATCACCTGAACTGGTCACTGCAGGAGCATGACACCTGATCTCAAGGGAAGATCCTGTCTTGATTTTTTAAATACCTCTAGACTGCAGTCTAGAGGGCCTCTAGGATGAAAAACATTCTGCTTTTTCTATTCTTTGCTGACTAGAACTAGAAAACACAAAATGCTTTCAAGTGGGCACAATTGTCAGGACAGTTTCTTGGGAATAAAAGAGGTGATCGCTTTAGCTGGAGTTTCTCACGAAACATTTAAACAAGGTATTCTGCAAGGCTTTCATGACAAGAGTTCCGACTCCAGTCCTCTAAAAATGCCGGCCACAAAGACTGGCGAAATGTGAGGAAGAAAAACCTCCAGGACACGGCCAAACAGCCTGAAAAAACTACACCACCATTTAAACAAACATGCCATTGGGAGACTTTTAGGTTTGATGCTGGCCTTCTGTCCAGGACCAGCTGCCAGTTTTAAGAAAGGGATGCTGGGAAGCAGCTTGAGCAAGCGGTGGCCTGGCAGCCCATTATGCCAGGGGCAGGGCTCAACCAACGTGGCCTCTGTGAGATGTACCAGACTACAACTCCCATCATCCACAGCCACTGTGGACACCATTCTGTGGAACGTGAGCCCGATATCACCGGAGACGCCTTATGAATACAGCCGCTAGGATTCACTTGTGGCTGAGGTCTCTCACACCCGAAGACATCCCGCGAGGCCTCCACAGCTTAAAGGCGGCGGGGAGGGGGGAGCCAGGGAGCTGCCAGACCAGCAGCTGTGACCGAAGGCAAGGCAGGTGGCTCTCCCATACGAGTGTGACTATAAACACAGGCAGCTGTTGTACTCCTGGAGCATCTGGGCCACTCGAGATGGAATCTGGCATAACATTTCTCGCTTCCTGGCTGTTCACAGAGAAGATCTGTAAACTGCAGTTGGAATCAATAGGTCTCCTCCAAAGGAAAGACATACCGTTCTCCATTCTCTGGGTACTCCGAGGGAGAGGCCAAGTCGTCATTCATGATGGGGGAGAACAGGCTGCTGCTGTTGAGGTTCTTCAAAACCAGCTTCTTAATGCTCTTCCTGGAAGAGAGGCAATGCCAGAGAGCAACTGTTGAGGGGGGGGGAGGACACTCCATATTCAGGGCTGAGAGGAAAAAGGGCCGGCTAGAGTCTCTCTTCCATGGGTTGAATCACAGAACTGCATCTACTGGGCCACAACACAAGTGAAGGGACGGATCTGTCACCGACACCCAAACCAGTCATTTATTTTGAAGAAACGTAAAACACAATTCAGTTTTCTGAGAAGCAGCAGCAGCAGCATCACCTGTTCCAGCAAAAAACTAAAAGCAAACTGTTGTAAGCACCTTTGAAAACAGCAAACTACTTATGGATGTCCCTTCACAGATTATAATCCATTCTTAGTGATTATAATCCAGCCCGTGAAAGACACATGTGCCCGAGGAAGTGATTCCTAAACCAGAAAATACTGATACTGAAATAAATTTATTAGCCTTAAAGGTGTAACAACTGCCAGAATCCCACTGCCATAAGGATAGCCAGGCACCGCCGTCAATGCAACCAGTATCTTTTTTTAAGCTGCTGAGAGACACAAGATCTGCTTTATGTTAGCGTAAAGGAGCAATGGGATTCTAGCGAATACCTTTTTATTTCTACATTTGTTTGATACTTTTTGGCAGAAGTGAGCCTCATTTCACACTCCATGAAATCTTGAGATTAAAAACTTAGAAATGAATTTTTAAATACACAATTATTAAAGGATTTTGAGTATTGCAAAAGATAAAGGAGGCAGAAGTTAAAAAAACTCATATCCACAATATAGACAAAGCATCTCTCTCCAGGGAACTTCAGAAATAAGCCATTCTGTGAGAAGGGAAGAGAACTCTAGCAGATCCCCCCCCCCAGCATTTTACCAAGCTGCAATTCTCAGAGAAAGGTTACTATTTGAGTGAACGGTGGGTTTTGGATCTGGCCATGCTGTTAAAGGAATGGGCCGTATAACCTCGGGACCACACCTCATGCTCTAACCTCTGCCTGTGCCACAGATATAAATCCAAATGAAGTAAAATAATTAAGGGGTGGTGGGGGTGGAATGGCCAACAGAACTTCCTAAGAAGGACAAAGGCCATTTCAAACCCCCTCCTTTCCCCATCTGATACCGTTTGGTAGAAACCCCCACCCCTCTGAACAGGAGGACCTGTTTTTGGGGTACCCGGACAAAAAAACTCCAACCATCCCATTTCAAAATTAAAACAAAGAAGTGGATGTATCCACAAAAGCGCTCGATGAAATATAACATGAGCCTTTAAGGTGTCATGACACTTGAATTGCTTTCAATAACTCAATGGCAGGAAGAGGCATTGAGTTCTTCGTCTTGGAGACGCTCGAACCTCAGCAAACGCGGAGGCTTCTTTGAAAGCTTTTGTTCCGAGAAGGCGAAGGGAAGGCTGGGAATCCAGGGGGAGAGACTTTGCCCACCCCTACATTAAGAGTCACAAAAACAGAAATGGCCTCCATGGAGGCCGAGGGGCACTTTTCGAAGGAGGACCGTCTGAGCTGGCTCTCACGCCTGGGTGTTAAAAATATGACCCTGACTGGAAAAGTAAACACCAATTGGGCTGTTACGCCCATGGAGCCAGACCCACTTAGGGCGACCTTCAAAGAGGCCCTGCATCCACCCAACCCCCCCCCCCAGGCTGAAACCCAAAAGCACCCTGCTCCCATCCCCNGCCCTGCCTCCCCCCACCCCCCCCCCCCCAGGCTGAAACCCAGAAGCACCCTGCTCCCATCCCCCAAGCACCAACCAGGGACAACAACTCGGGTCGACGACATCTGCCATCCCTTTGAGATAGAAAGAAAAAGACTTTGTACTGACTTGGGCATGAAAGCCCCATTCGACAGGGCAGGCTCGTCGTCATCCAGACCATCAAAGAGGTGCGATTTGGAAGAGCCTGTGGTTTGCAAAGCTTTCGGACGCACTCGAGTTGCCGGGCGAGGGGTCAGCTTGTAGTGGGTGGGAGTGGTCAATGCCTTTTGGGCCGCTGGATTGGTTGGCTTCAGTCTCTGACCGAAAGAAAAGAAAGCAAAGAAACCGGGGTGGGGTGAGTGGTTAGCCTGCAAGATGCAGGACCGGCCAGTCGTTTCTCCCTAACCCAAGTCCAGGAGAAGCGTGAATGGGCTCTGCTCCGGCCGGTCAGTGCACAGCCCCGGCAGACCCATTGGGCCCTGCGAGTGCATGAGGCGTGCTTTAGGGGAGAGGAGGCAAAGCCCTCCACGCACGCATGCACGCGCGCTCACTCCCCTTCCAAGACCAGCCGAAGGGATCCTCTGCCTTCCTCCCCACCCAGCACGGTCTCCTCCACCCTTTCCTCTCACCTCCTCCTTCTTCTTGGGGTCAGACACAGGGTTTCTGAAGAGAGGGGAATCCCCAAAAGGCGAATATGTCAAGCTGTTCAGGTGCTGCTGAAGAATGGCCTGCTGGGCAGCAGACGCATTCGGGTCCGTCAGAGCTGGAGAGAGGAGGAAGCAAAACGTCAGCCTCCCAAGCCCACAAGGTCACACCCAAAACTGCCGACAGAAGGAGAGAGGCCTGGGATCTTGGGAGAAGGAGAAACACCTGGGATCTTGGGGGAAGAAGCCCCGCGACGGAAAAGATTCTTGGCAAAGAGCTGAAGGTTCCCTCTCCCTTGTGAACAGCCTGGGCAGGAGACGCCGGGGACCAGAAACCCACCCCTGCCATCCGCCAGTTTTTCGGGCAGCTTTCGCGAGGCCTTGCCCTTTCTTTGCCCAGGCAGAAGGTGGAGACAAGGCCTCCCAAGTACAGGCATGGGGCCTGGAAGCTGGAACGCAGATGACTGGTTTGTGAACTAGGCACTTACCCACAGCAGGCTGGGGAGCTCCAAAGCCGAGGGTGGCTGTTGATGTATTAAATCCAGGGGCACCGAAGGCTCCTGTCCCCAGCGTGCCCCCGAGTTTAGGCTGGGTGTTCCCAAACAACGAAGTCTGCCCTGCACTCAGGGCTATGGAAAAGAAGGGGAGAGAAACAGAAGCGCTTTGTGCCAAACCATCAGGGGCAGCAAGCAGCACCAACCCAATGTGTACACGTACACGTGTACACACACACATACACACCTCTCTCTCAGAAGCTCAGAGAAGGGCTTGGGGGTTGGGGTTGGGCTAGGCTTCCCCCCCTTCCCCTCCCCCCCACCTAGCCATTCTTTCGTTCATAAGAAACAGCATCCAAAGCCCATTTCAAGTGCCAGTTCTAAAAACGATGCCTGCTTAAACCTGGCCATTCTCTCAGTGACTGAGGGTCCCCTGGCTAGACTGTTTTATTGCAGGGGACCCTCCGTTACTCTTCTTTATGCCACAAAGGGCTGATAAGAGGGATGGGGAGGGAGAAGTAAGGGAAAGAAGAGTCATCTTCTAATGAAAATACATATACCGGCTGTTCTCCAAAGTCAAGCCAACACTCCTAACTAATACCCTAATGAGCATCCACGGTATTTAACAACCAGGATTCTGTCATTCAGCTCATCCTCCAGTACCTCTGAACAGGTCAGGAAGCCAAAATAGGAAAAAACAGCTAGCAAGGGGAAGAAACAAAGTAAACAGCAGCAGAGTTTTGGAAGTAAGAGAACAAACAAGAAAAGTTTGCCTGAAGAAAAAGGAGGCGATGGAGGATCAGGGGAGAGGTCGGCCCTCTAAGACGGACAGGATTGGGGGGGGGGGAACAGCACAGAAAGCGAGAGGTTCTGCTTCACGGCTGGCGTGCTGCTGTGAGCCGAGTGAGTCTCCACCGCTGGCTTGGGGAGTCCGGACGAAGGGCCTCCCATGGGGGAAAAACAGCCAGCAGCTCCTAATAATGGTGGTGGTGGGAGGGCCATCCTTTTTACCTGTTCCAAATCCTGTTCCAAGGCCAGTCCCCAGGGCTCCCGCGGCAGGCTTGTTTCCAAAGAGGCTGTTCCCTGTGGTGTTCGCACCAAAACCTAAACGCAAAGAACCATCAGAGGACTGCTTGGCCATCTCACCCTCTCGACACATAGCGCCTAATATACGAGCACTCGGCAGGGCCCGCTCAGGACCACCTCCCTGTGCGGCCAAGGTTTTCTCCAAATGAGGAAAGGTGTTTTCCACCCCGCAGGGCAGGAGGGGCCGGAGCCTTTCCCCACCTTCTATGGTAAAGCCCTTCGCAGGAGGAAATACTCAGGGTGCTGGACGGGCCGCGGTGGCGGTTGTGATCTGGTTCGGGGGCGAGTGTGCCAAACGATAAACATGCCTTTGGGTCCTTACCAAAAAGTCCGCTTGTAGTTGTTCCAAATGAAGGTGCGCTTGTGGTTGTGGTTCCGAATCCAGCGGGTTTGTTGCTAAACAGCGACTGAATGGAGGAAAAAATGAAATCTTTGACCTTCACGGAGTTGAGAGACAGCTTTGCCAGTCAGGGAGCTGCGAAGGCGCAGGACAGAAACAGCAGCCAGGACAGGCTGAGGGGGCGGCTGCCGGGACCAACCTCCTTCAACCAGCGTCTACGGGTCCAAGCTGGAGGTGGGATCACTCGGGAGAGGGACCAGCCAGGGACTTCGTCCCCACAGAAGAACTCCTGCAAGGACGGAGTGCCTTGGTGCCCAGCTGCCGTGCCAGGCCATCCAGAGGGGTCCAGCGACCCCAGGAACTGCAACACTCGATGGGGGGGGGTGGATGCCAGAAAGGAGCCCCCAGCGCCAAGACTTTACACACTGTCCAGGGATTTCACTAATCAGGAGTGAAATAAATATCAGAGAGAGAGAGACCCTCCATGAAGTTAACCCGATGAGGTCTCCTTTCAAGGAGCTTATTTAGGCTTAAATGGCCTAGTACAGTGATGGCGAACCTATGGCACATGTGCCACAGGTGGCATGCAGAGCCCCTTCTGCCAGCAGGCAAGCTATAAGTTGCCAAACCACCCCTCCCACTGCTCCCGCACAGCCAAACCTGAGAAGGCGGCTGCAGCTGCGGTGCTGGCACTTCAGCAGGCGGATTCGGAGCAGCTGGTGCTGGCGGCAGATCCGGGTTGGGGTCTCGAGGCACCTCCGTGCCGGGATTCCCCCTTCCGCCACCACTTCCAGTTTCGCCGCCGTGCCCCCACAGCATGCTTTTTAAAAGTTTTCCCCCCGGTTTGCTCCCCCGCCGCTGCCCAACTGGCCAGTCCTGATTAGTTTTAATCTCGGGTTCCCCTTACACACAAAACAGGCACCTTTAGTTGGCATGCGAGTCCAAAACGGTTCACCGCCACTGGCCTAGTATATACAGTTTTACAGATGAATTTATTACGGGGAAAACACGAGCAAGACAGGAAGGTAAAGCAGCCCCTGTTGCCTGCTATGCCACGGTGAGGAGGCAGTCAGGCAAGTCCTCATATGGATGCACCTAGGAGGATGGTTTAAAGGGGCCAGGAATGAGCTCAGGGACAGCAGGCTGCTCCCCCGCCGCTGCCCAACTGGCCGGTCCTGATTAGTTTTAATCTCGGGTTCCCCTTACACACAAAACAGGCACCTTTAGTTCAATGCAGTTGATGAACCAGGACCTGAAACCAGACTCAAAAGCACCATTTAAGGTTCTGGTCATTCAACCGGCAGTCCCTTCCAGCCTTTCCTTTGAAAGGGGGGGCAGCTGTTGAAGCTTACCTGGACAGGTGCCTCAGAGCTGATGCCACAAGACTGAGAACAGGGAGCCCCAACGCTCCCCCCTCCCAAAGCTTGCTCAGTTCTGGCTTAGGCAAACAGAACGTGTGCCTCCAAAGCAAGCCTGCAAATAACTTGGGGATCATGAACTGCCAGAGACCTCAGAGGTTGAGGTCGGGAGTTCAATCCCCCACTGGCCCTCTCTGAGAGGAACTGGACTCAACAGCCCATAGGGTCCCCCCCATTTCCAACTCAGCAGGTCAAAGGTTGCTGTTATTATTGTCATTATTATTATTATCATCCATGTGCAAGAGTGAGAGTTTTCCCTGCCAAAAAAACATTCCAAGGCCAACATTATTGAGCCCATCCCTCAATCCTGATTAAAGTTACAATCATCATCCCCAGACAAGCAGGACCAGCCAACCTACCGAGCCACCAACACCAAATCCTGTACTGGGTTGTCCAAAGAGCCCCGTCCCTGTTCCAAAGGCAGTGGCCGTGTTGGCGCTGGCAGCGGTTCCAAAAAGGCCTCCGGTTTGTGAGGGCTGAGTGGCTCCGAATAGACCCTGCCAACGTTATGAGACAGGGTGTAATTAAGAATACCACATGCAACATCCCTCCCTCCCTCCCTCCCTCCCTTGACATCATGCCCAGCCCACAAAGGCTCCTCTTTCTTTTCGCTTAGCCAAAGCCAGACGAGAGGGCTGACAGTTCTGGAGTCTGGTTCAGCTGAGTCGCAAATCAGAGCAGCAGAAAACCGACCTTCACCTTAGTCGCAACACCCTGGGAAAAGCTAAGAAGTGTCTGGGGGCCTCGCTGTTTCTCCACAGCAGCCTCTGCTCCCCCCCCCCCTGCCCAGGGAGGAGCAGAGAGGAACTTCAGCAGGGCTAAGAGCAAGACTGGGGGGGGGCTCGCTAGAGGAGAAGCACACAGGTAGGAGGCTCACAAGGCCGTCCCACTTGGGCAACGCAGGAAGCTCCCCAAAGCTTACACAGGCCGGACATCTTGCCAGCTCAAAAGCCTGCCTCTCATATTTGACTTCAGCAAATTCCCTTCTACCAGGGCTTTCCTGTCTGTATCACATATTTGGCAGAGGTTAAAAAAAAAACACACCTTGCCGTCCCATCACTAGATGTCAATAAACACCAAGGGCCTGCTACGACCTATTAACCAAAATCCAGTTGGGGACTACTGAGTTATTCAAGTCCGAATGTATTTTGGCCCAAAACCTCTCCACTTGTGCGCTTTCACCTACAACTCCTGAAACAACAACTCAATGGCAGGAAGAGGGAGACTAGACCCCCTAGCCACAGCAGCCACACAGGACCAGTGGCTCTCCAGTTTTGATCGCTGCTAGCCAAAACCAGGCTTTCCTCCTCGGCAGACACCAGCAGTTTTTCTCCCCAACTCTATCTGCAGCAAGCAGTTTACTCTACAGTGCTTGATAAGGTAACAGCTGGGGGGGGGGGAAGAAACCATGCGGGACAGGGGGCAGGTTCTTGTGGCCAAGGTTTCCTAAGCCTCCATATATCTGTCCCTAGGGCTGGAGGGAGCAGGGGACCACAGTGGCCCACCCTGGCCCACAGGGCTGGCATCTCCAGCTAGAAGGACCTTTCGTCTGGAGAAGCCACTGCTGGGAAGAAGGTCCCCTGATTCGTGTGATAATAAAGAAGGGCCTCAAAGCACCCTGAACAAAATCTTCACTACATTCAAAAATGAAGAAGGTGAAGAAGGCAGGCCCCTGTGCTCATCCATCAGCCTGATGAGCTGGAGGGAGCAGGGGACCACAGTGGCCCACCCTGGCCCACAGGGCTGGCCCCTGTGCTCATCCATCAGCCTGATGAATAAGAGGAATATTCCTAGAGAGTCCTTAATTTTAAAAAAGCAAAAACAAAACAACCCTGACTCATCAAGGCAGAAATCACCAGAGGCCACATAAAACCAGTCAATTTCTCGGCTCTGACCCCCCCCTTGCCAACTCACCATTGTGTTTGTATTGGGCTGGCCGAGGGTGCTGGTATTGCCGAACGAAAAGCCTGTGTTTGGGGCAGTCGTGGCCTGGCCGAATGGCTTGTTGAAGAGGCTGGTGGTCGGCTGAGTCGGTCCGAAGAGGCCCCCGGTTCCTGTTCCAAAACCTGTTGTGCCTCAAACAGAAAGAGATGAAGCCAGTTACAGCACAGATGCCACCAACACACCACCTTCTCCACAAGGCCTCTGCCCTGAGAAGCTTGCAGTCAACGCTCTACTTAGGGGATGGACTGCTGTTGCAAAGGCCAGCAGGGGGTTGTTCTCAACGCTTTGACTCTCCCTGACCTACCAGCCAGCAAATGGAAATGTGGGAAGCCAGTTCAGAGAGGTGAAACTCTCGGAGCATGAGCTGAGTGTGAGTAAACAGCAGCGAGCAAATCATGGACTGCAGAGGTCAGAGTGTTGCCTGAATTCAGAACTGAGCAACATATTCCTGAAGCCACTGAACCTGGCAATGTGCTGGGATGCACATGAGCTTCACAGCAAATCTTCCCTGGACGATTTTCGTAACTCTTCCTTCCTCTTTCTGTAACATATTCCACTTATTTGCTTTGTTATCCTGCCTGTTTGAGGAATTCAATGCATATTAACTAACAGTAACTGCTAAGCCACTGAATGGGATTCATAGCCAAGGGAGAATTTGAACTTTTTTTGCCTGGTTTGGATGGGCTTACACTCCCTCTAAAAAGCCAGGTTTAAAAGACCAGGTTTAAAAGATTTAAAGCACCTCTCTCTCTCTCCCTGCTCTCTGTATCAAAGAAAAAAGAGAGAGAAAGAGAGAAAACAATATAAGCTCACAAAATAGTGAGCAAGCTTTCGAGTTCTCTAAAATTATTTAGGCTTCTGGACTCTGCTCTCTCTAGGAAATAACTAATTTCTACCGTCGCCTCATCTGCCTTGTTCCAACTTAGGCAGCTGTCCCAGTTGTGGCCCTTCCTGGTACAGGAAATCCCCGACCACACTAGTTCCTATGCTGATCATCTCAAGGATGGACTATGTGGGGTTGCTAAAGCTCTCTGTCACCTCTTCTTCTCAGCCTTCCTGGCTGCGGGTGGCTACCCGGTGAGAGGCCTGAAGGAGGACACAGCCAGGGACCGAGCCTTCCCTGAAGGTGGTGGCAAAGGTCTGGAACAGCTTACCTGCGGTTGCATACTAGGCTTCCTCCCTCCCTCCCTCTTTACCCTGAGTAAGCACGTGCAATATGTGACTTTAAAAGAGGCCTCTAAGAGTATCCCCTGCTTGGGGGAGACCTGCTCATCTCTTGCTTTACCTCCTATTTCTTTTTTTCTTATACAGCTATTGCCACTCTAGTTTTTGTGAGAATGTCTTGGTATTTTTGGTGGGTGCACGGCCAGAGATATTTGTTTATATCATTGCAAAACACCTGAAATAATGGCTTACCACTAGATGGGCAGTGTACAAATGTCACAAATAAACCAACAAACATGAATTTCCACCTTCCTAAGTCTGGCACTCTGCTTAATATGCATGCAGAAAAGACCTGGTCCGTCCGTCCGTCCCTCTAACCATCTTATTTGTCTTATTTACAAGCCACCTTTCTCCTGATAAGTAGAGAAAAGCCCCTGGTAAGTGCTCCACTTGCCCAACAAAAGAAACCACTTGGGACGGACAGTCCAAATATCACGCCTGTCCATCACGTTAGAACCCTGATGTGGGAACCAATGACAGGACAGGAGGGCAGAACCAAGAGAGAGAGAGAAAGGAGGACAGTTGGAATCCGTTAGGGTGGACAGTTAGGAAAAGTCAGTTAGAGAGTTAAGAGAGGAGGAGGAGTGAGGTTTGCTGAGAGAGAGAGAGAGAGAGTCAGAAATAGAGAGAGAATTATTACTAATAAACAGACACTGGTTGAATTGAAAATAAGTAAACAAGAAGTGATATACAGCAATGTGAAACATAAAATATGATATTTCAGTGATTGTGAGCTAATGAAAATGAACAAAGACCATCTGTGATTCTGAGTTACCCTTTCATACACGTTAATAAAACTAATTCTGTTACTGGCAGCAAGTGTGAGAGTAAAGTTCTTTACTGTGTGGATAAGAGAAATTCACTGGTGGCAGCGAGAGAGAAAGAAGGGAACAGGGTTGAGGGAAGCAAACAGGGACACGGGGTGTACGTCACACCACTCAACCTGGACAACATCTTTCAAGTACGCAGACCAAGGGTGTGTGTGTGACCTTGGCTGGACAGAGGGTTAAATCCCAGTTTTGCAAGAAACCCAGAGCGGCTGCGCTACTGCCCAAATAAGCCCTCGAAAAGAAAAGAAAAAGGGTTAATTGTTCTTGGCAGCATATTTTACTTACTGAAGCTTCATTTTGCTTAATTGCTTCAGAATTAACTTGACCTAAGCACTTTCTGGTTTCCAAACAGCCATTAACCAGGTAGGAAACCAGGCTAAGACTTCCTAATTTCAATTAAAACAAACAAACAAACAAACAAACCAAAACCATCAAATGAGTTTAAATGCAAAACCAATTCAGGTAAAATGGGAAACTAACTGGGAGCCACACTGCTTCCCCCCCCACACCATATGTTTTAGGCAGCTGTTTTTGTTATGCTATATTTTGCAAAAGGTTCTTGTAGGGGTTGACAGCAGCCCTTGGTCCATGTGCTATCCAACAGGACACGGAGAATACACAGAATCTGACGGCAGCATTTCATGATTTGGCTAGTCATTGCTTCAAATTCTGGATACATTTCCCCCACCCCACCCGCAGCAAACACACAGAGATACTCACTGGCCCCAAATCCTGTCTTGGTCTGTCCATAGGAAAAGCCTGTGTTGGTGGTGGAGGATCCAAAGAGCCCCGTGGCCGCGCTGGACGTGGCTGGGGAGGACCCAAACAAGCCCGCCGTTGCTCCGGCTCCAACCGGATTGGAAGGACCCTTCCTATTCGCTTGGTAGTCTTCCAAACGCAGCTCCTGAACGAGAATAATTTCCACAGTTGTAGGGCCATGGCCTGTGAGCAACCCTTGTTCCCTTTTGGCCCCTCTATGCCCACCAGCCTTGGAACAATCAATGGGTGGTTTCCAAACCTGTGCCCCTGCTCTTCGGGAGCCCCAGCCAACACAGCCCTACTGTGGGACCCAGAAGCCTGACCCTCTCCCTGGCCTCGGTCCCAGCCTTTGTTCCTGGAAGACACAGCACTCACGCCACACCGACAAGGCAGTCATGCGAAGGGAGCCCTGAAGGGGCCGTGGGCTCGCGGGTTTTATCTACCAACGGGTGAATCCCCCTGACTGCAGATGTGAGAATGTCTCCCCCCAACCCTTCCCCATGCTGGAGAAGACAATGTCGCATATCAAAAAGCAACAATGAAGGAAGAGACCTGTAGAGACCTTCCATCCTTCACATGATATGGGACGAGGAGGGGTGTGAAAAAAAGGGCTCTACCCTAAGTGCCTATCCTGGTGCAAAACCTCTGAAGACGACTCCGTGTGGGCAGAAATCTTCATTTTACCAGTTCCATACCGGAGTCAAGGACAGAAATAAAGGCTTTTTTCATTCATCAAGGCAAGCCACTCTTAAGAGATCCGTTCCATGCAGCTCCGTTTTGAGAAATTCCAAGTACCCGCCCCCCCCATTCAGTTTGTGCCAGGAAATGGGATGTACCTCTTAGCCTGGCCTCTTCTGAAAGGAACCCACCATCGAGGGGGCAGAGAGGAGAGCACACGCGGTGCCTGAACCACTCACTCAGCAGCCACAGGAGGAACAACCTGCCGGCCACGTGCATGCATGCACAAACACACACACTCCCTCTCGTTCACGTAGATCACAAACTGACCTCCAGCGATTTGCTTTCATATTCTTTCATTGCCGTAATGCACTGATGTTTAGTGCTGATGTTTGTGCTGACCCCAGACTTCACCATCGTATCTGTACCCGTAGGGGGCTGAAAGGGAAAACGGAGCAAGCATCAAGGTGGCTGCAGAGTTGGCTCCCACTGCCAAGACCAGCACACCACATCCTGCTATCGTTAGCCAGTGAGCCATCACTGGCCACTTTGTGGACTGCTTGTTACAGTAGCTCCCCTTCTAGCCTATGGTTACAGGGAATCCAGTTTCATACCCAGCTCAGCTCTGAAGCCCTTGCTGACCGAATGGCTGCAAGAATGGAATGGAGCTACATGCCTTTGGGGAAAGGGCCAAGACACAAGCTGAGATAAACAGCAGGGCTTGGGTTGCCTTAGTACACAGGGGAGGCGAGCTTCTGCCTGCTCCCCTGGTACTGACCCGCATGCTGTCCTCAGCCTTTGCTCAGGTTATACACAGAAAGGGTTCCAAAATTCTCTTTCTCTCTGCCTGGAAGGTGGTGGCCCTGGCAGTTGTCTGAGAGCTCGCAGGTTCTCTCTAGCAACTGGTGAATCTAGTCCTGTCAGCTGCAATCCAAGCAGAACAGATTCCCACCTTCACGGAGGAACAAGGCTGCAGGCAGAACTCTCACCCTTACAAAATTCTGCTGCCCTCTCTGCCATCAATCCCTATGAAAGGCTCAAGACCCACAATTTTATTCTCTCTTGCAGAGTCCTCCGCTGAAGAACGGGGGCACACATCTGACTTGCACAGAGAACTAGGGAAGCTTCCTTGTGCTGAATCAGGACCCCAGGCAATCACGCCCAGCACGGACTCTGTTGACGGGCAGCAACGCCCCTCTAGCATCTGAGGCAGGAGCTGGACCCTGGACCAACCCTGTGAGTGGAAACCAAGATGGGGCCCCCTTCCACAGGCAAAGCACATGCTCTGTGCTGAGCTGCAGCCCTTCACCAAAAGCTCACACAAAGATGAACCACAAGAGGAAGCCTGGGCTCCCCCACTGTTTAGAGATAAATTTCCCATGCCTTCCTTTTGTATGTGCGCAAACGCACTGGTACCTACATGAGCCTCCAGAATCAAAACAGTACAATGCATGGCATACCACGGATACTGCTGCCTCTGTCATTCATCCTACGAGAGAATTAACCTGGATTCCCTGTCATTTACTCCTGCACGTGTAACGAACTCACCAAGGCTAGTTATGGGGTTATGTATGAGCCACACCAGTTCTTCACTTTTCAATGAGGCCAACATAAAGAACAAAGGAAGATGGATCCCAAAAGATCTACAGGGCAACGTTCAGAGAAGGTGATGAGCCTCGTCAGGAACTGTGCTGGGCCAATTTGCTGACAACCGCACAGCCCTGAATTACTCAAGACTCTTGGGCAACCCCAGGACTGAAGCCTACTCCCCCAGGGACATGTCACTGGACATCAGCAGTCAAAAGGCAATGCACACAAGATAAGCTCAGGACAGAGACTAACTGGAATACACTGCAGGCCATGAACTTACATTGAATTTAATGGTAGTGCCAGTTGGAACAGCAGCAAAGCTAGTGGAGCCAAACAGGGAGCCCGACGTTCCCCCAAAGGGGTTGGAAGTTGTGTTGGTGGTTCCAAATAACCCACCGCTGCTGGTACTTGTCCCAAAGTCTGCAAAACAAAAGCCAGAAGGCAACAATCAGGGCCCAGACAGAACCCCAGAGATCCTGAGCACAGACAGAGACGCACTTGCTCCTTCTCCAAAGTATGACCTAATTTCACCAAGCTTTAACACAACTGATGGAGTACAACGTAAATACACCAACGTTACACCGAGGAAGAGTGCAAACTTTACACATTTCAAGTCATGTGTGCTTTCTTCCTGGATGTTATCCACCACTGGCTCTGACAAGACCACTCTGCCCTCCCCCAAACTGCACTTTACTGTGGACGGTTATTCTCTCCCTGGCTCTGCTTTCACAAACTCAGGCAATGCTTAAGGTTTGAGAAGTCCGCTGGCTGCTTTGACACAGGCAGCTCCTCCTGCAGCTGGTGAGCAGTCACACTTGTGACAGAGGTCCAGCGTGGGAAGCTCCCTCCCCTTTCCAACTTGGTTTTCTACAGAGGAAAGGATTAAGAAGCAGCCTCCGCTGGTACTTTCTCCCTCAGACAAGCTTCCAGGAGCAGCAGCTATAACAAAATGGCAGCTCCTTTCTGGGCAAAAAAAAAAAAAGATCTTGTGTAGTGGAAGCTATTCTCTGCTCCTCTGCACCACATGGAGAGGAAGGAATAATCTCTCTCCCTTCCACTGAATGCAGCAAAAAGGTGCTGGTCACACAGTCTGCTAAAGACTGGTTCAAGGGCAAAAAAATCAAAGTGTGGTACTTGTATACCACCCCACAGCGCTAAAGCACTCTTTGGGTGGTTTAATTACACATTACCACCTCTAGTGCCCAAGGTAGTCAATTTGCTGACTTTAGAAGGATGGAAGGCTGCGTGAACCTTGAGCAGGCTATCTGGGATTGAACCCAGTTGTGAGCAGAGTCTTGACTGCAGTACAGCAGTTTAACCACAGGGTCAAAAACCCTCCTCTTTTTCTCAAACTCACTGCACATGTCAGTGGGCTCTGTGAAGTCTCAGCAGCAACAGAAATTCAGTGTGCCTAATAAACCCAGCCCACTACATGAACCATTTGCTAGAGCTAAGTTTACAACTCATTCAACTTCAAAAACTTTAAACAAAAAGGATTCCTGTTGGCATTAACTTCCAACACTCAGAAGTCATGTTCTTCAGAAGTTAAGAAACGGTTTAACTATCCTGGTAAAATGGAGGTCAAAAAGAGAAAGAAAAAAACCTCAACAGCAATTTATGATGATGGTGCTGTGTTCCACAGTAACAATGAAACCACACTTTCTTTTTAACCAGTTCATATTTTAGTGGCAAGCAACCTCTTTCCCCACAGGAATAAGTCAAATCAAATGACTTACTGTGGCTTTAAGGCATATTTCAGTGTATGAGGAATCACTCTAAAGGAATGACTGCACACAGAGCAAAGGAAGAGCTACTCACTGCCAAAGCCCACAGGTTTACTCTGTGCAAAGGCATTGTTCTGGGATGAGAAGAGGCCTCCACCGGTGCTTGCAGTGCCAAACAAGCCACTGGACGTTCCGGTCGATGTCCCAAATCCAAAGCCAGTACTAGTGGAAGATGTGGCTGGCTGGCTGAAGGTGCTCGAGCTGAATAATCCTCCTGAAACAAACGAACAAGGATCCAGAGACCAGGCTCAAAGATGTTTAAGGAAGCAAATGGGGTCAAGGTGTGAAAGTGCAACAAGAGCACTCTACCTGGTTTGGTCTGTGCGCTCCCAAAGAGCCCTCCGGTATTGTTATTTGATCCAAAAGCAGACGTCCCAAAGGCCCCTCCGCTTGTCGTGCCAAAGCCAGCATCTGCAGAGCAGGAAGAGGACTCGGGCAATGAGGTTTCGGCACACAGCTGGGCTGGAACTGCTCAGTGTGGAGCTGACCACACACTGAGAGCAGCCATGACCAACCCAATGGGAAGGGAAGCCATTTCAAGTGCAGGTGGAGCACTTCCCTAAAGACACACAGCCCTGCAAGCCATTTTGGCTCAAGAACATACGATCCCGGCACGGAGGGTGTGTCAAGGCCACTCATGTGACCCTCAGGCACACAACCATCCCACTGTTTTACAGACTCAAGAAAAGTTACCGCATTTAAAACTGAGCCAGCTTTAAAATGTCATTCTGGGGGGTGGGGGGAAGCCCTATTCTTCAGATGCTGCTAGACTGGCCACTCCAGGGTCTCTCACCTCTGGCTAGGTTGTGGCGGATGAGAACGGCACGTGTGGAAGGCTGCCACCTCTCGCCACCTGGAACTTGCATGTGGACCCTCTGAACCAGGGCTAGGAATGTGTAACTCTCTAGTTGTCACTGGATGGCAGTTTCTATCAGCCTGACCCAGCACCAGAGATAGGGACAAACTGTGGCAGCTGCAGTGCAACAACATCTGGAGACCAGATACAGGGTGTTAGGAAGGCAAAAGCTAAGAATGAGCTGAGTTTAGCAAGAGACCAACATTCTCTCTAATTTTCAGCTGTACTGGACCGACTCTGGCCCCTCCCACGGGGTTCTGTTGCGACCGGACCAAAAGGGGCCAGAAATTATTGCTGCAAGTACATGGAGGAAGATGAAAGCTGCGCAGAGGTGAGCAAAGTCACGCACCTTAGAGGAAACCTTGCACGAGGCATCAGAAGTTTTTTAAAAGCATTCTTCAGGTATGTGTGTAGCAAAGGACAAAGAACAGTGGCTCAGCTACTCAACAGGGATGAGAAAAGGATAACAGACAACAAAAGAACAGCAGAAGTGCTCCATCCTGGCAATGTGGCTTATGTCTTAAGTCCATCAATGGACCTTCCTGGAAATGGCTGCTCTTTCTGTGGAAGTCAGGCTCCTCTGCGCAGCTGCTTCAGGGGGAAAGGGTAAAAGCTTAGCTAAGGATCACTTACTCTGTCCAAAAGTTGAGGTGGTCCCAAAGCCACCTGTATTGCCTCCAAAAGGAGTGCCAAACGACTTGTTAAACATCTTGAAGTTATTTCAGGTTCTCAAGATCTAAACACAGAAGAAAACAAGAAAACATTAGCCTATCAGGCAAAACCTATTACTATACACGCAGTTGCAGGTAAATGTCTCATACGCTCAAGAGCCGATGAATATTTAATAAGAAACTGATATTTCATTCCACATTTCATCCTGTTTCCCTAGGTCTGACAAAGTGGAGGCGACCATGAAAGCTCACATTAAAAGCTGCCTAGAATGGTCGCAAGACCAGATAGGCGGGATATAAATAGAATAAATAAATAAAGTATAATAGTCTTTAAGGTGCCACAATGTTTTTATCCTGTTTTATTTTTTAGGATTCTGCCTGATATGCTTGCACAGATGAACACGGCCACCTCTTCCAAAGCTAAGAAAATGTTCAGTTCACCTACCACCCACAAAACTGTAGCAGGCTTTACAAAAAACTCACAATACCTTAAAACCTGACATTTTTTTATTTAGCAGAAACTTTCACAGGCTGTAGCTCAGTGCTCCAGATATGTGAGTCACGGCCTCAGCAAATACATGTTTATATAAATGCCACAAGACTATACATTGTTTTTACAGCTCCAGACTCATATGGTTCCAGTCTTGGAAACATCTAATATCTTCCACATTTTTATTTGCTCTGTGGGAATACTGATTCCCCTGGACCTCACAATGTCTTTTGAGAGCACATGGATAGGCTGCTTAGGCTGGGTGTGAAAGAAATTGCTAAATCCTGGTTCCAATTCTATTTGTCTGGCCATTTCCAGAAGGCGGCGATGGGACGTTAAAGTTCAACCACGTGGTAACCTTACGTGGTTCAAGCTCGCCCGGCTTGGAAGTGATCACGTGGAAATCTGGTCTGAAGTGCTCCTGTGACTCAGCTGGCACCTCAGGTCACCCTTCATTTTCATTAGGAGCTTGGCCACAACAACATCCAGGAAGAGAGCAATTGCACAGAACCTGGGTCCAGAAATAGCTCAGTTATTACCAGTTTTCCCACCAAGACAAATGGGTATCGGGCTGCTATGAATCAGTTTTCCCATGCGGTCTTGTATTGCACCTGACAAGGATTTTTGTTTACCTAAGTCATTCTAATTTACTTTATGTCACTTCAGCCTCTCTGATTTGAAATCTACATGTTTCATATAAGTGTGGTATGTGTTCTACTCAGTTGTTATATTTACTCATTTTGGCTTTAGGTCCTGTTTTCTATTTTACTTTTTCTGAACCTCTTTAAAGTGAGTCATCTAAATACCTCTCTACTGAGCACTAGAATACAAACAAAAAGAATAGCAGAGTATGAATAATAATACCCACTGGCCAATTCAGGCTTGGTGAGGTCCAAGGCAGCACAAAGCTTATGATGACTGAGAACTTTGGAAGTATCGTCAGACTTCAAAACTTAGCCGTGCCTATTTGTTGAGACATCCAATACAGCCATTCTCATGCCGCTCCGGCATTTTCCAAAACACACACATACATTCTTTCAACAATACTTTACTGGATGTCACAGAGACAGAAAAATGCAGAAAAGAACAACTCAAATGACCCAGGGACAAAGCAACTCTCCGATTAGGAAATGTTACGTTTGGGGCTTTCAGCACAGAAAACCCAACATGTAGGGGAAGTCATAAATCATGCACGTTCTGTGTGAAGTAACTAGTGAAATGTCTGCCTCCTTCTCTCAAAACCCAGAATTGCCTGCTGGTTATGCTGCAGCCTGTACATCCAATTATCATTCCTTTTATTATCACCATCCCTGTTACAATTATGATTCTGGATGGGCTTAAAAGACACATTCATAGGGAATAAGGCTGCCCATCATCTTCTCTGTGGATCCTGACGGCTTTGTGCCGTTTACCCCCTCCTGGTACCAAGGCACCATTCCGCTACAGTCCCACTACTGGGGAACAAGAGCTGAGGGTGCTACTGAACTCAGGGTTTGCTACTATGGGAACAAAAGGCTGGACCTGATGGACCTTTGGTTTAAATCCACACCACTCCTCTTCAGGTTTCATTCAGAAATATGCAAATGCATCACTGAGGTAACTGGGAACGTAGCTGTGGAAGGCTTCTGCTGTGCCTCAACACAGCTCCCACCGGGAACTGGAACAGAAGGCTCTCCATGGCCACCACGGAAGGAACCACAGGGAAAGGAAGTGACAGCCTTCCAGAACCTGGTAAAAGACTGGTCTGATCTGGAGAGCAAGCCTTTTGGGGCCTGTTTTTCCCATCTTGCTCCTCACCCTTCAGATGTTATTTATTTATTTATTTTATTTATATCCCGCCTATCTAGTCGATAGACCACTCTAGGCGGTTTACAACATGGGATAACACTATAAAAACAAAAGAGTTACATAATAGAAAGCTTTCAACCACTGGGTTAAAACATTAGGAAAGAAAAGAGAAGGGGATCAGGAATTAACTAGGAGGGAAGGCCTGCCGAAACATCAATGGTTTTAATTGCCTTTTGAAAATACCGAGCGAGGGGGCCACGCGAATATCAGGGGGAAGGTTGTTCCAGAGGCGAGGAGCCACCGCCGAGAAGGCCCGATTTCTTGTCTTTTCCTTCCGGGCCTCCCTCGGCGTTAGGCTCCTCAGCCTCACCTCCTGGCTCGCGCGAGTGACACGGGTAGATCTTGGTGGTAGAAGGCGTTCCGCCAAGTATCGAGGCCCTAAACCGTTTAGGGCTTTGTACGTTCTGGACTACAACACCGGTGGGCAAGGTCAACAGTAAGTAGGGGCACAAGTGGCAGTCCAAAACCCCCAGAGGTCACCAACCAGTCCTAAATCAAGGGGAATGGTACTGCAACTTGACAGCTAGAGGAGGACTCTGCATAAGCTACCTGAACGTACCACGACGCTCTTGATTGGCTCCTTTTTCTACCACTACTTATAGGTTTTGTCCATACAGTGGAAGGATTATGTACTTGGCTTTGGTAACTTATTTATTTATTTAATTTATACCACGCCTATCTGGCCCACCGGACCACTCTAGGCGGCTTCCAAATATAAAATCAAATAATAAAACATAGACAAATACATAATAATCAAACAAGAACAGCAGTAAAAATAAAAAGTAAAAGTAAGAAAAAATCAAGAGTTGGCTGGAGGGAAGGCCTGAATAAACATCCATGTTTTTAATTGGGTTTTAATGCCAAAACATGCACAAAAATAAGAAACTGAAATTAAGGAATCAATCCCAGCCTACATGAGACTCATGAATCTATATGCACGACATTCAAGGCAGTCCAAAACAAACAGGATAGTTTCTCTTCCAGCAGAAACATTATTATGTAATTATTCTACAGAACCAGGTTGCCTGATGTGAGCCCTTCCTTCTGCTGCCCTACAAGTTTTCTGCTAGCCATCTCCCCTTTACTGCTTTCATGTTTGTTCCTCAACCTCTGACCCCATCAAGGGACTCCTGCCTCCCCTTTTTTCCCATTAAATGCAACCAACTGAGGTTGACCCTCAAGACATCTGATCTCAAATGCAAAACAGGATTGGGGCTCGCCAGTGTTTTATATGGCAGATGCACAGGAAAGGTGAGAGCGCTCCTGGTAACAGAGAGCCCACCCCCC